TTTTTTTTTTTTTGGTGTTTTCATGCAAATTCTTCTGCTAGGTAGAATTTAGTCCACTTCTATATCCTTCCCTTCAAGTCTCAGGGGTCCAGGATTATCTTCTGTATCTGTGTTAATTGGTTCCCCTTTTGTTTGTTGAAGAAGGTCTGTGCAGTCTTTCTGCCTATTCCACCATCTCACCGGAATCCTCCAGAACTTGTTTCTTGAGTTTCACAGGCTCACATAAGGAGAGCTGCACCTCAATATAAATCCATACCCAGAATCTCAACTATAGCCAATGTAGATGATAACATTTGAGGCTTCTGAAAGATTCAGGTGAAAGTTTGGATTCTGAGTTGATGCTGTAATGGATTGAGACTTTTGGGTATGCTGGAATAGGGTGAATATATCTTGAATGTGGAATGGACATGAACCATTGATGCCCAGAGGATGGACCACTGTAGGAAGAAGCAGGGCCTTCAAAGTGTCCATGTGCCACGTGAATATGTTCCATTACATGGCAAAGGAGACTTGGTGTTGCAGAAGAAGGTAAGATTACTAATCACCTGATCTTCAAATAAGGAAATTATCTAAGGTTATCCCAGTGGGCCCAATGTAATCACAAGTCCCTCAGTGAGGAAGGAGACAGAAGACTAGTGCCAGAGTGATGGAAGACTTCACCAGCTATTGCTGACTTTGAAGATAAAAGGAGACTGTCGGCCTGGGGAGCTGGGCAGCCTCCAGAAGCTAGACAAGGCAAAGAAATAGATTCTCTCCTAAACAAACAAAACTGCTGTTCAATCAATTTCAACTTTTAGTGACCCTGTAACACTGAGTACAGTAGGGTTTTCTGGACTTTACAGAAGCAGACTGCTACATCTTTCTCCTGGAGAGCAGCTGGGGGGTTTGAATTGCTTTTTGGGTAGCAGGCGAGTGCTTAGCCACTGCATCACCAGGGCTCCTCTGGTTCTCTCCTAGACCCTCTATAAAGGAATGCATCCCTGCCAACACCTTATTTTCAGCCCACTGAGATCCATTTGGACTTGTGACCTCCGTAACTGTAAGATAAACCTGTGTTGTTTTAAGCCATCTAATTTGTGGCAATTTGTTACAGCAGCAGTAAGAAATGAATACCATTACATTTCCACATTCACTGTATTCAGTTTTTCACTTTGCATTACACAATGCAATTCCTGGTGTCCAGAGTTTACTGCTGAAGACTTTTCCACATTCTCAAGGTGTAACAATGTGACCATAAGGAAGATGGGGCAATCTACTTCCGTAGTGATAATGCCTCGGAAACCCAAGGAGGGGTCGCTATGAGCTGGGTCTGACTCCACGGCACATAACAACAACAGCAACAACAATGTGACATATAAGTTAAGACTAGTGACAGAATTTCCATCACTTATTGCTTTCAGAAGTTTCTCTTTTCTGTGAGTTTTTCCACATTATACTAAGAATCTTTTCCACATTTTGTGTCTGAAGAGTTTTCTGTTTCTGTGACATTTAATAAGGTAAACTTTATTTTTTTCTTACTGAAAGTTCCATCATATTCTTTCTTAAGGTCTTGGATCTGAAAGAATTATCTGACAGCAACTGAGATCTTAACTCCAGGCCAAAGCTTCCCCAACTCGGCTATATTTGTACCCAATATAATCTGACTGTTATTTACCAAGTCTACTGTCACCACAGATGGCTCCTCCATACCACCTGCACACACACTGTTCCTGTCCTAAATGAGCTCTCTGACAGGCTTGCAAAATGTTTTTCCACATTTCTGGTATCCACAGTTACTTCCCCTACAGGGTATCTGTAACATACAAGACATAATTTATTACTGAAGGTGTTGTCACATTCACTCCATTTACAAGGTTTATTTCTGGGGGAAGTCCCCGATTATTTACCAAGGCCGGACTTCTTGAAAAAGGCTCTTCTACAACCACCATCGTTCTTCCCCCTAGGAGTTCACTGATGTTTAACAAGGGCTGAGTTCCTGAAGGCTCTTCCGTAGGCACTGCACTCCCAGGGTTTTGCTCTTGAATGAGTTCCCGCATGTGACTCCCTGAGGAAGGTCTTCTCACCTTCAGTGAGTTTGTCCCTTTGTCTCGGTTATGAGTTTTCTTATGTTTAATGAGTACTGACGTGTGGGCAAAAGCTTTGCCACATTCACTGCATCCATATGGTCTCTCCCTGGTGTGAGTTCGCTGATGTTGAATGAGTTTAGACTTGCTTCTGAAGGCTTTCTCACACTCACTGCATTCATAAGGTCTCTCTCCTGTGTGGATTCTTTGATGCTTGGTCAGGTCTGACTTAAAAAAGAAGGTTCTTCTACACTCACTGCATTCATAAGGCTTCTCTCCTGTGTGAAGTCTCTGATGTGCAATGAGGTACGCCTTCTGGGAAAAGGCTTTCCCACACTCATTGCATCCATAGAGTTTCTCTCCAGTATGAGACTGCTGATGTCTCTTGAGCCGGCACTTTCTGCTGAAGGCTTTCCCACATTCACTGCATACATAGGGTTTCTCTCCTGTGTGGGTTCTCTGATGTACCATGAGCTGTGACTTTCTGGAGAAGGCTTTCCTACACTCATTACATTCATGGGGTCTCTCTCCTGTATGAACTCTCCGATGTTCAGTGAGCTGAATCTTTCGCATGAATGTTTTCCCACAGTCATCGCATTCATGGGGTTTCTCTCCTCGTTCTGTTCTCTGATGTCTAATAAGTTGTGCCTTCCTGGTGAATGCTTTTCCACATTCAGTGCATTCATATGGTTTCTTGACTGTGTAAGTTTTTGGATGGCCATTGGGCTGTGACTTGGTGCTACTGGATCTAATGCATCCAGGATATTTAATTTCAGGAGAAGTTTTATCTTGCTTCATGTGGCCAGATGATTTCCCATATCCACTAAAGTCCTCAGGATCCTTTTCTGTATCTCTTGTACTCTGGATAACGAAATCTAAAGGAGATTTCAAATGTTTACACTGTAAGTCAAATGGAGTCTGTTGTTTTATAGGAATTATATTTTCAGTTAAATTGATACTATTTCCAGCTGCATAACTTTGCGGACATCTTTCCAAACTTTTAAGCTCATTGTAGTTTTCTGGTTGCTGCTGCATTTGGTCAATTGTCCATATTTCTTCTAGGAAAAAAAAAAAGAACAATTAAAAACATCCATGATGATTTTAGGGAGTGAAAAAAAGATGCCATGATTCAGCTGGGTTTTATAAGATACCAGTCTAAAGAAATATGCTTTATGGAAATAAATACCCTAAGCCCTGTGAAAAGGATACAATATACCCTCTCTTCACTTATTGACATAGTTAGGTTCCAAAGACCAAGTTGTTATGCAAAATCTGCATTATGCAAACATGGTAGATGACCACATCAGATCACAAAATAGAGGATGACTACATCATTATATAACTACTAAATATATTGTCATATAACTGCAAAACTTCCAAACCACTGAGAATCATGGCCCAGCCAAGATGACACCTAACCTTAACCATCACAGCCAGTGTTCCTCTCACCTTGCAGCTGGGTGTTACCGCCAGAAGTAAATTATTAAAGCATAAAATAGTTGGATAGTAGATCTTTTACTATTGTCATAAATGTGAATAAAATAAATAAATGAGAATGTTGGATAAACAGACACTTGATTAAGTGAGGAGAAGGTTTATTATAAAACAGCTACTGTAGAAACAAAGATGGAAAGTCTACAATGATTAAATATAATGAAGGTGATTTTCCAAACAGGACCTTGCAAAATGGAGACAGAATTTGTTCTTGTTCCTGTTAGGTGCCATCGAGTTGGCTACAACTCATAGTGCCCCTATGTACAACAGAACGAAACACTGCCTGGTCCTGTGCCAGTCTCACAATCCTTGCCACACCTGAGCCCACTGTTGCAGCCATCATGTCAATCCATCTCACTGAGAGTAGTAATAGAAATAAATTACTATTGAAAGAAAGAAGTGGAGGGACATCTGATCCAAGATTGTAGGGGATAGATCTATTTATCTAACATTTATTGAATGTGCTGTTGTCTGGGACATTAGAGTGACTAGTACATTCTCTGTCTTCATGGAACTGTCACTTTCATTGGGAAAAAAAGAATTAACAAGAAAGTAAAGAAATAAGAAATTTATAGAATGTGAAAAACAATATGAGGGTGGTGACAGAGAAGTGGTAGGTCAATCTGAGATATAGTCATCATTCATAAGAGATGGAAAGCTGAAGTGACATCACAGGAAAAGAATGAGCATCATTATGTAAAGAGAAGATGAAAATTATTCCAGCAAGGGAAAGCAGCCAGTGCAAAAACCCAGAGACAGAAAAATCTTGGGCGTGGTGAAGAAACATAAGGCGGGCTGGTGTACCTGCGATATCTTGAGCTTGAGTGAAGTAGGAGTAGAAAAATTTGAAAAGGTAGACAGAATTGAGAGCGTGCAGATCTTGTATAAAGACTTTGGAAGACACTGAACTTATGCTAAAAACAATGGTGGGAGAACATGTTCTGAACTGCCATTTCAAAAGATCACATGACTGTCTTCTGGAGACTGAACGGGGAGATGAAAATGTAGAAGAGAAAAGATGGAATCCCCATTCCTCCCAGATAATCCTTTTTTTTTTCACTTGGGTGTCTGATCTATGCTAAACTGCCCTACACACGGGTGCCTGGCTACCTTTGTTGCCTTACTTATCTATTCTTCTCTATTAGTTGTGAAGCTCTGTGCTGCTGCTATTAATTTGTCCAGTTTTGAAAAGGCCTTTGGAAAATTCCACACTCTGAAAACCCACCTCCAACTAGGTCACAGTGAGCGCTTCACTGCCCAATTCCTACATCCACTGGTTGAGTGCAGTTTCTCCATTGGTTCCTTCTGATCTCTGGCTGCATTCATCTGGGGGTAGGAAGCACTAACACTGTGGAATTTGATGAGAACTATGAATGAGTGAGTGTTGATTGGAAAAGCAAGAAGTCCACATGCATTTAGAAGTTGAGAAGATGAGAACTGAGCCAACTCAGATGAGAAGGATCAGGGCTGAGGTGGAGGAGTCAGAAGAACTAGGAGTTCTATTGACTTAGGAGCATCTATTAACGTACAAGGGAGCTCTGGTGGCGTAGTGCCTAAGGCATGTGACTGCTAACCAGAAGGCTGGCAGTTCAAACCCACCAGCCACTCCTCACAAGGAAGACTAGTCCATCTACTTCCATAGAGACAGTGCCTCAGAAACCCAAGGAGGGATTGCTGTGAGTTGAATTGCCTCAATGGCAGTGAGTTTCACTTTTTTTTTTCTTTTTTTGGTTATCAGCACACAAAAAGAAGCTCTGGTGGCAAAGTGGTTAAAGCACTTGGCTGCTAACCAAAAGCTTGGTGGTTTGAATTTACTAGCTGCTCCACAGGTGAAAGATGAAACGTCCACTCGGGTAAAGATTGACAACCTTGGGAAAACCTATGGGCAGTTCCAGTCTGTCCTTTAGGGGTGCTGTGAGTTGGCATTGACTTGATGGCAGTAGGTTTGGTTTTAATCACAGTGCAAAAATCTTAATACTTCAGGGTTGTGGGGTGCAGAACTACTTAATGCAAAAAATCTGATCATTGTCCATGGCTCCTGGGAAATAGCCTCTATGTTTAGAAGGCTTGGGATAGGCTGACAACACCAGGATGCACCAGCATATGGTAACAGCATGACCTGCAGTCACGGCAAGGGTGCCTGGCCAATGATTCAGTCAATCAGGCTAAGAGAACAAAACCCCAGGAAAACGTGTGAACAGTGTAGCTCAGGTAAGCTTCCTTGTTAGTGATGGACATCAATGCATCCTGAGGACAGAGAAGCACTGCACTGGGGACCCTACCAGAAGTCACCCTGTGTATCTCCTCTTTTGTATCCATTCTGTTAAATAAAGCAGTAACTGTTGAGTGCAGTGCTTCCTTAAGTTCTATTAATTGCCTAGTGCATTACTGAACTGGAGGGGTTGTGGGAACAGCCAAATTGACAGCCAGTGAGTAGGAAGTGTGGATGTCCTGGGAAGGCCTGAGCTTGTGGGCAGACATAACATTCTGGAGGACCATAACCCTTAAGGTGTGAAGTCCCTGACTCTAGGAAGTTAAGGTCAGAGAACTAAAACCGTAATTTGTGTTGGAACAGAACCACACTGATAGTAGAGACACATATGAACATGTTTCATTATGGGGAAGAGAAACTCTCCGGGAGAAAGGAGAATTTCAGTTTCTCATATAACAAAACTCAAAACCAAAGCCATGGCCGTGGAGTCGATTCCGACCCACAGCGCCCCTAGAGGACAGAGTGGAACTGCCCCACAGGGTCTCCAAGGTTGTCAATCTTTACAGAAGCAAAGCCCAAACCAAACCCACTGCCGTCGATTCCAACTCACAGTGCTCCTAGAGGACAGAGTGGAACTTCAGCACAGGGCTTCCAAGGCTGTCAGTGTTTATGGAAGCAAAGTTCAAACCAAACCCACTGTGGTGGAGTCAATTCCAACTTACAGCACCCCTAGAGGACAGAGTGGAACTACCCCACAGGGTTTCCGAGGCTGTCAGTCTTTATAGAAGCAAACCCCAAACAAAACCCACTGCCGTGCAGTTGATTCCAACCCACAGCATCCCTAGAGGACAGAGGGGAACTGCCCCACAGAGTTTCCAAGGCTGTCAGTCTTTACAGAAGCAAAGCCCAAACTATACCCATTGCTGTGGATTCTATTCTGACTCACAGCACCCCTAGAGGACAGAGTGGAACTTCCCACAGGGTCTCTCAGGCCATCACTCTTCATAGAAGCAAAGCCCCAACCACACCCACTGCCATGGATTCTGACTCACAGCGCCCCTAGAGGACAGAGTGGAACTGCACCACAGGGTCTCCCAGGCTGTCAGTCTTTAGGAAACCCACTGCCACATCTTTCCACCATGGAGCAGCCAGGGGGTTCAAATCACTGAGCTTCCATCAGCAGCCAGGCACTTTAACACACAGCCACTAGAGCTCCTGCTTCTTATGTAACAACAGCAAAAAAAAAAAAAAACAAACTCACTGCCATTGAGTCGATTCCGATTCATATCGTCCTCCTTTGGTATTGTGAGGCAGTATTTTTATGGAAATAGATTGCCCAGTCTTCCTTCTGCAGAGTGCCTAGTAGGTTTGAACTGCCAACCTTCTGGTTAGCAGCCAAATGTCTTAGACACTGCACCACCAGAGCTCCTGACACAGGAAGTAGGAACTCCTAGAGCAGCTGCCTGTGCTGGGCCAGAGTGCATGTTAGCTCTGACAAGAGTTCCACCAGAGGACAGGGAGCTGAGACTCTGTGAATGTGTTTCGACTGATTTTTTGTAAGAATCAAGCAGAAGATTGGAAAAAAAGAAAAAACAACATGGAAAGAAGGGAATGAGAGTAAGTTGATAGTCACTTTGAGAGCCAAGGTATGGGGCTTGTCAATGAACTAAGTGAGGTGGATCATCAGGAAGGGAAATCAACCCTTTCCGCAGAGCAAAGCTATGAATAAGTGGACTGCAGTGTGGAGCGTGACATGATCTGGACAAGGTGAGGAGAATTGCATAGCTGCAAAGCTGGACAGTGGGACATGAGACTGCCACAGAAGAAAAGGAGAAGAGGCGAGGATGCTGGCAAAGTGGGACCAGGCAGGAAGTCAAGGGCCTACATTAGACAGACTGTGATCAGATTCAGAAGAGAGAAAGAAAGGGAGACACTGTCCTTTGAGAGCAGGCAAAGGACAACAGCCCTCCTAAAGGACAGAGACGTGAACGGGTTGATGCCCTTTCTGGGGCACCAGCTGGTGCAACAAAACTTCAGTAAAAACATCTCACAAGTGTCAATGCTTCACTGAGCAACTGGGCTTTTAAAGTCATTTTTGTCCACTGTTTTGGTTGTCACTCACTCACCTGGAAGGGTCTCACCACAGATGGCTTCCTCCACTACCCACGGTGGTTCCTCATGCTCCAACTTGAAGACTGCATCTGGTTTGGTAGCTGGATACCCTGGAAGTGAGAAAGCACTGAACACTTGGCACCGGATATTTACGCTTGGGGAATCTGTGGAAACTGGAGACAGTTACAGTGTAGGTAGCATGTTATCTGTACTCTGGTAAGTGAAAACTTTTTATGCAGGAGAATAGAAGTCTATGGCCTATGAGGCTTTAGTCCAAACATTGAATATTCATGGAGCCCTTCAGATTTCACCCAGTGAGAAAGAAGAGACGATGGATGGAGCCCACAGGGAGGGAGCCCGTGATGCTGCCTCACCTACTGACACCAGGTTGCTGTAGTTCTCTAGCATCACGTCCTTGTACAGGTCCTTCTGATGGGGGTCCAACAACTGCCACTCCTCCCAGGTGAAGGCCACAGCCACATCCTCGAATGATAAGCATCCCTGGAGTAACACATTCCAACGCAATCTGAGGTGAGTGGACGGTGTGGAAAAGGCAGACAGGAACGTGCTCTGCTCATTTGCCCCTTGATAAATTACGCATGCTGCAGCTAATGCACCTCCCAGGGGACCACAGAAGCCCACTGGGTAGTTCTTCCAAGTCGAGGGAAAAAAAAAAAACCTAAAACAATATTTGCATAGATGTACAACAATGTGCAGAGTAATTATGTTCATTGTTTTGTTGTTTGTAATTGTGAAAAACTACCCATGATCTAAATTTCTATCAAGAGAAGACAGGGTAAAACTACAGCACCTCCATGCTATGAATACAACGCAGACATACAATCAATGAGATGAAGCATCCACGCTGACTCCAAGGCATTCTTTCTCTTTCTCTTTTAAATTATGACTTGGGTGAAAATTTGCAGAGCAAATTCCTTTTCCATTCAGTAATTCATACACATACTGTTTCATGACATTAATTAAAATGTGTGCAATGTAACAGCTTTCTGCCCATTTCCTCCCTGTGGTTACCTCTTCCCGGTGGCCTCCTTTCCTATGCAGTCCTGCCCTTTGAGCTTTCGTCCCATGCAAACACTGCCTTCTGATCTCCTGTGACTGACTGTCCTAAGGAGTGCACCTGCGTGGTGTAACTGTTCATCTTGCAGGCCTGTCAACTGTTTGGCTGGAAGCCGTGGGAGAGAGTCCAGTTCTACAAGGCATTCCCTTAAATGAAAACTTCAAGCCTGCAAGTAGTCTAGAGATGATGAACAAAGACATGTAAAAATCACTAATAAAATGTACATTGTACAAGTTCATGTGTGTACACAGAAGTCTACATAAACAGACACGCAAATATAGGTAGATTCTCCCACGTGTAAATTCACAGAAAGAGAGTGGCTGGAGACCCAACCATTCCCTTTTATTACCTTTGGGTTGGCAGATGGGCAGGAAAGAACTGGGGACATTCTCTTTTTCTGCAAATACTTGTGTTTGCTTAAATTTCTTACGTGCAAATGTATCATTTGAATTATAAAAAAAAAAGGAAGCCAAAATAATAACTGGCTCTGACTTCATTTTTTTGCACTTGGGGTTAAAGTACAAAGGGAGCGATGTCAGTATCTGCTCTCCAGGTTTCTGTCAGGAAACGGAACTCGAGTTTGTCTCCTGCCAATCAGTGACCAAAGTTTGGTTGAGAGAATTCTTCCCCATGGATGACCAGCTGAAGGCCTCGAAGCCCATTCCTTCCACTGGCTAATCCAGGCTTTATTACTGGATGCAACCAGACTTCCAGAAGGTTCTACCGTCAAGCCCATTGATTTTGAAGAACGTTTTCTATCAAGCGTTTGCTCTGGCATTACTTCTTGCGCTTACTCCAAGGAATTTCTACGGCCCAAGAGCAGTGAAATGCCTTAGGCACTATGCCACCAGAGCTCCCTTTTGGTTTTGGTTTTAAGAGCAGTGAAATGTTCACTTCCTGTGAAGAGCTGGTTTGTCTTCTCCTCACAGACACTGCAAATCATGTAACTTTTCATGTTTTCTTGCTACTACAGCTGTTAAGTAGATAGAAGTTCACATGTAAGGGAACACACCGGGTCTTACACTGTCACTCATCCATGCTCCATGGCTAAGGAACTTGTATGAACCCTCAGATCTCCATATCTGGATCCCTAATCTGTCCTAATTCTAAGATTATAAACTAAACTTATTTTCTGACAGATCCTAATTTTTATCCCTCTATCCTGTCTCATTTAATCACACTATCTTTTATAAACTTCCACAATCCACTGGGAAACAAAGGTAAAACAGGTCAAACAAACCTCACCTGGGCTTTGGTCATTTTCATTTGTTCTCAAGAAAGGCCCAGTAATCTGGGGTGTGTTCAGGCCTTTGTGTTCTCCGGACCTTTGTGAAGTTTAGTAGATCTCTCAGCTTAGTCTCTACCCAGAAGCAATGATCTCCAAGCTGGGAACCTCCTCCTTCTATCGCTTGAAATGCTCTGATTCTGTAGACCAGGACCTGTGGACTGAAGACCAAATTCAATTATGTGATATGCACCTGGGGCTGCAGCTCTTAGTCTCTCTTATATTGGACACATCCTAATATAAGATCTCAAGATATCATCTGTCAAGCAGCTCTGGTGGTGCAGTGTTTAAAGCATTCAGCTGCTAACCAAAAGGCTGGCAGTTTGAACCCACCAGCCACTCCATGGGAGAAAGATGAAGCAGTCTGCTTCCAGAAAGATTTAAAGCCTTGGAAATGCTATCAGGGCAGTTCTACTCTGTCCTATAGGGTCACTACGAGTTGAAATCAACTCAGTGGCAGTGGGCTTGGTTGTTTGTTTTTTCTTTAAATGCCACCTGTCCCTTTAACTGTCTGGAAGCTTTTGCATCACGTGGCAGTCTCCACAGGAGGATACAGAATGGGTGCGGTGGGTTTTTTGGTAACATCTGAAGACAGATGTGAAAGAGAAGACTGGAAATCAGGATCAGTCACGGTCTTGTTAACCGATCAATTCTTACATAGATCAATGTTAATTAAAAAAAAAAAAACCCACTGCCATCGAGTCTATTCTGACTCACAGTGACCCCCACTGGGTTTCCAAGGCTGTGAATCTTTGCGGAAGTAGACTGCTCCACCTTCCTGCTGTGGGTCTGAACCATCCACTTTCCGGTCAGCCGCCAAATGAAATGTAGTACAGCACATGTGTAAGTGGTAGCTCTGGAAGGTGAGGACAATTACCCGTGTTTTGTATGGTGCTGCAATAGATATCCCCATCTGAAGACCAAAGAATTAAACAAATCATAAGCACTGTCTTACTTAATCCTAATTAGACTCTATAACGCACTCATTATCATCTCGACTTCAGTCAGAATCAAGTTGATGGCAACTGGTTTGGGTTTTACTTTAAGCTGGAGCTTGTTGAGGAAGTGTGTTTTCCAGGGCAACACCCTTCTGAAGCAGCAGCGTGCTATGGTTTTTGGGGGTTCATGGGTTATTTATGAGTATACGGTTTAATTACCAAAGAAATGGGGATTTTCTAGTTATTGTTTGGGTCTTGATTTAGTTTAATTCCACTGTCAGAGGGAGTGCTCAGTGTGATTTCAGCCCTTTGAAACATGTTCAGACTTGTTTATGGCCTAGTAACTGTATATATGTGTCATTTGCGTTTGAAAAAAAAATTTTGGTGCAGTGTTTTATACTGGTTGAGTACATTAATCATATTATTTTAATCTGTCAGTCGTCAGTACTGTGGTGGGCTGAAAATATGTTTTTGCAAATAAAGCTTTATTGGAACACAGCTGTGCCCATTTGTTTACATATTCTGCATGGCTACGTTCACACAGCAGTGGCAGAGCTGAGTAGTTGAGGAAAGTGACTATCTGCCCTGAAGAGCACAAAATATTTACCCAAAAAGTTTGCTGACCCCTGCTAGTTTTGTCTGCTTGTTCTCTCCGTTACTGAGGGAAGTATGCTAAGAAATGTCCATTATGACTGAGGATTTGTAGTTTCTCCTTTTGTGTAACAGCCCTTTTACCTCAGGAATTTGGCTACTAGGTGGATACCCAACACTAACTTCCATGAAGCAAAAGACTTGCACAAAAATGTGCAGTCATAATAGCCACAAGTCAGAAACAACTCAAACGTCTCCAAAGAGCAGAATGGATACACAAGTTGGAGGATAACCATACAGTAGAATACTATGCGGCCACAGGCAGAAATACGTACTACTGTACACAGCAACGCAGATGGAAGTCACGAACAAATGAATGAGCAGCAGGAAGGCAGACACCACTGCCATTTCTATAAAGTTCAAAACCAAGCAAATCTACATGAAGGTCACAAGTTAGGATAGTAATTACCTCCAGAGAGGAGAGGGGAGATAAGGACGAGATCAGCTTGTGGTGCACCATAATACTCTATTTTATTGGTTAGTGTTATACTGGACAAAAGGAGCCCTGGTGGGACAGTGGTTACATTGCTCAGCTTCTCATCCAAAGGTTGGCTGTTCGAACCCACCAGCGGCTGCATGGGGGGAAGATGTGGCAGTTATGGCCTTGGAAACCCTATGGGGCAGTTCTACTCTGTCCTGTAGGCCCACAGTGAGTCAGAATCAATGCAATGTGGGGGGAGAGTTAACACTTAAAACATTTTAAGGAAACCCACAGATCAATGTTACTTATAAATACAGATGCAAGAATTTTTTTTTATAGTTTATCATGAAAAATTTCAAGCAAAAGAAAAAATAATATTATTATTAGATCCCAGATAGTAAAGAACAGTACAATAAACTCCACATACCCTACATGTAGCTTCAACATTTACCAACTCAAAGCCAATCCTGTTTCCTCTGAGACACCACTACTCATTCCCTCTCCATCACTTGATAATTCTAAAGCCAATCCCAGACCTCACTTCATTTCTACATGCAAAAATAGTAAATAAAATATTATGAAATGGAATCCAGCTCATTATGGACAAGTAGGGTTTTTCTCCCTAGGAATGTAAGGTATTAAGAAATCTAGCATCCTACCTCAAGGAAAATTTTAAAGAAAGAGAGAAATAAAGAAATGATAAATCATATGAATTGTATCAGTAAAAAGCCACTGTGAAAGAAGAGTAGAAATGGGGTAAATGGCTGTTTCCATTCATTTAGACTATACTACCTGCCAGGCACTAACTTCCTATTTGCTCACTTAATCTTGAAAAGTAGGACTCAGGATGGATACTTTCACAAATCAGGAAACTGACAGATTGAGCACCTTACCCGAGTCAGAGGCAGAAGCAGGTCATTCTCCCTCCATAGTCCATGGACTTGCCACCTGGACAAAACCATATGCAGATGATGAAAACACTCAACTAGAAAAAACAACGGAATCCATTTAAAAGAGATTAGTTGTGATATGAGTAGAATGAAGGGATAATTAAATCATTAAAAAGAAAAAGTTTAGAATGTCACTTTTAATATGGGCATCAGATGCTGAGACATTGGTATATTATACACTTAAAAAATAGTAACATCCTACCATAACCGGTTACACACTTTTTTTTTTTTTTCAGTTACATATTACTTTGAAAAGTTTCTTCTCTTTTTGTTCTTTAACCAGCTGCATCAATGTTCCATCAAATGTGTGCTTTAATTTTGGCAGATTTGCCTTACATCGAAGGAGCTCCGGTGGTGCATTGCTTAAAGCATTCGGCTGCTAAGCATAATAAGATTGACGGTTGGAACCCACCAACCGCTTACTGGGAGAAAGATGAGGCAGTCTACTTAAGAAAAGATTGACAGCCTGGGAAACCCTGTGGGGTGGTTCCACTCTATCCTCTAGAGGGCTGTGAGTCGGAACGGACTCTAACAAGAGTTATTTTCTGAAACATTTAGGATAATGCGGATGTTATTGCTTGGCTTGGAATGAACAGTAAACGTGGAGAGAAGAGGGCAGAAACGACATCCTCAAAGAACGCGTAAGATACAAGAAACGTGAAATTCCCCAAACGCTGCCCCAAACCGACCCCCACGACTCACATCTCCAACCACAGACACCCCAATGCAGATCCTCTGCGCGCGCTACTCAGAGCTCTCAACACATCCCAACACGAAACGCTACGAGCTCCCCCAGCACAGGGAACCCCCAAATCGGATGTCCCAATTGATCCCCTCACACAAAACCCTCTCCCCCTTGGAGAACTCCCATTGCTTCCCACAACACCAACCCCTACTGGTTTCCGATACAACTCCCAACGCGCTCTCGGCGACCCTGAAACTGACCTGACCACCGAGCTCCGTCTCTACTGCTAGAGACGGATCCCGGAACTCACTTCTCTAAACAATTTCCCTTCGTGGCCTGCACCCCGCGGCCCCATCTTCCAGGCTGCCTGGACCCTCAGAAGCTTTGCGGACTCAGGGTGACGAGAGCCCCCTGGCGTCTTTCCAAAAACTGAAACTCTGGCTTTGGAACGTCCCTGTGTGACGAAATATACGCGCGTCTCGCTCGCGGTTACGTGCTGGGAGCGGCCATTTTTCAACCAACCTCCGTACAGGGGGCGAGGTTGTCCCTACACCTGATGTGCAAGGCACGGGACAATGAGAAGCAACTGAAAACGACCGATTTTGCCGCATTTTCAGGCCAACTCAACCGCTGTGCTTCCCCGATCTACTATCGGCGCAGCCACGTTGCCTTGCGACAGTTCTCCGGAGGCATAGACTGACGCTTTTCAAAGTCCTAACTGACTTTGCGTAATAGCCTGAGACGCGGGACAGGTTGACCAGCGAACGGAAGCGGAAGTGACGCCTTGAATCTTGGCCTGCAGGGTGATAAGGGTAATGGATTTCTGGCTCTGTGGCGATTTCGTGACTTGGTATATGGCTGTGAAGGGTACTCGTGGGGAGCTGTTTAAGGCTACTTCGGGAAGGTTTGGGGCTCTTTGGGCAGTGACGGGGATGGATGGCCTATATCATGTCCCTGACCCTGGAGAGAGGCGTCGGGAGAGCCATTGACCGTGGGGATCTCTGGAGTATCGTCAATGAATGCAGTAGCTGATTAGTCACTGGGGGCTTCTGTGGTCCGGATGTGAGTACCCGGAGAGTCCTGTATTGAAGCCTGCACGGGAGTCGGGGCCTGGGGAACTGTGAGCAGAAAAGACAGGAAGGTGCCGATATGGGCACCTGGGCTTCCGATAGGAGAGGCTGGTGAGGTTGCAACGTCGGAGGCTTCAGGGCGGCGGTTTGCATGCGTACTAACCACCGGGGTATTTTGTTTCCCCCTTTTACACTGAAAAGATATACACAAAAGTTGAAACAATAGCAAAATGCTTTTTTTTTTTTTCCCTTGTCTTTTAAGATAATGAAATGGGCCTTACTGAATTATACTTGCATTCTTGGAATAAATGTCACTTGCTTGTAACATACTATCCTTTTCATGTATTGCCCGATATGTTGTTATACGCGTCGAGTTAGTTCTGACTGGTAACGGCCCCATGTGCAACGGAACGAAACCTGCCTGGGTGTGCTATCTTCACAATCAGTGCTGTGTGTTAGCCCATTGTTGCAGCCAGTGTGTCAATCCATCTCATTGCGGGACTTCCACTTTTTCCTGACCCGCTATTGTAACCAGCCGTGATGCCCTCCAGGGACTGGTCCCTCCTGATAACCTGTCCAGAGGACCTAAGAGGAAGTCTTACCATCCTTTCTTCTAAGGAGCATTCTGCCTGTACTTCTTCTCAGACAGATGTTTTTTCTTCTGGCAGTCCATGGTATAGTTAATATTTTTGTCAACACCATAATTCAAGGGCGTCAGTCTTCAGTCTTCCTACCAGCTTCTGCATGCATATGAGGCAGTTGAAAATGCCCTGGCTTGAGTCAGGTGCACCTTGGTCCTCAAAGTGACATCTTTGCTTGTTAGCACTTTAAAGGGTCTTTTGCAGCAGATTTGCTTGGTGCGATATGTCATTTGATTTCTTGACTACTGCTTCCTTGGGCTTTGTAGATACGGTCTCCTAATATTTTATTTAGAGTTTTTACAATTAAGCTCATAGCTTGGCTCTTAATTTTGTTTTTCATAGTTTTTTTTTTTTTTTAAATATGATTTGGGTGAAAGTTTACAGAGCAAATTATCATCTTCCATACAGCAGTTCACATACACTTTCTCATGACATTGACTGCAATTT